CTTCGGCGGCTGCATGAAGCTGTCCAGACAGTCTCTGGCCTCCCTCATGGCTATAGACGCCATAGTGTTGACGCCATTATAGTCACCTTTCCCCAAGTAGTTCTTCCCATCCACGATGTCGTCAACGACATTGTTGTAGTGTTTAGCACAGGTGGCATAGCGCTCCTTAAGCTTGGGATCGGCTGCATTGGACTCCAAGGACTGGGCGAGGACACGACTTTGAGTAGCCTTGTTGTTGGCAAGGTCGAGGGTGAAGATGGCCAGCCCTTTTAGGTCTGTGGTGCCAGAAGAATTCAACACGTTAAAGCAAAAAGATGGGTTTCTAGTTTTCTTGCAGATGGTGGAAACGATGTCGTTCTCGGAAGCTGCATGCATGGGCACCATCCCATTGAAGAACAGAACCGAAAGGACAATGGAAGAGACTGCAAGAAAACTAGAAGATGCCATTTTTTATTTTTCTGCCTGTTTTGCTCAATTAATTCATAGGAAGGGTTTACATATTTATACACTCACAAATGTTCCTTTTAATAGCTTTTCACGTTAGAATTTGAAGTAAAACTAAAAAACCAACCAAAATAGACGGGATAGGTTACCTTTTTTCTCTCCAAACCCAATCACAAACTTGACTTGGTTATTATATCCCTCTAGTTCGACTGTGCTTAAACTAATAATATTTATTTTACAAAAAAAACTCAACCTTTATTCATGTAATATTGAACAATATGTTGTTGACATGCCAGAAGATCATATTCAATAAATAACCTAATACGTCGACAAATATTTGTTTTGCCCATGTTTTTTGTTGCCATCTCGAAAAGTAGTCCTTGCCATCATTGTGTGTTTTGACGTGAAAAATGTGAGTCAATCAACTCGACTTGGTTAAAATCATGGATGTGGGAATCATGCATTGAGAAGTTAGTAAGTCAATAAGCTCGACTTGGTTAAAATCATGGAATGTTGAGAAATTAGTAATCATGGAACATTTCGGGGCAGTCACGAGATTACCCAGACCAACCTCGGTCCACAATTTCCTGCAAATTTGTTAGAGGCATCATAAACGTGAAGATAATATAGTGTGTATGGCAAAAGGTATATATAGAGACATCATGCATCATAGAACATGAAAGTAAT